TCATGCTTTTAGGAAACAGAGCATCAAATATCCAGCTAAACATATTGATAAATAGTTCACCCATTACAAGACACATTGAGGGCAAATTTCTAGGTTTCCACCTTGACTGTAATCTTAAATTTCAGACCCACATCCAACACATAACTAAGAAAGTTTCCAAAACAGTAGGTATCCTTTCCAAGATATGATACTATGTACCCCAAAGGGTGCTCCTTACTTTATATCACCTCACCCATGGTATTTGTGCTTGGGGATCTACCACGGCCAATCACCTTAAACCTTTAATAACTCAACAAAAAGTGGAGGTGTGGATGAACACAAACTCCAGAACCAGACAACACACCCCACCACTCTTCAAAAGCTTGAACTTACTTAATATACAAAATATACACACTTATTATTGTGCCTACTATATATTATTTATTTTATTTATTAACACCAAGGCAGGGTGGCCCAAAAAAGAAAAACTTTCATCATCATTCACTCCATCACTGTCTTACCAGAGGCACGCCTGCAATACAGTTATAAAACTGCAACATTAACACCCCTCCTTCAGAGTGCAGACACTGTACTTCCCATCTCCAGGATTCAAGTCTGGCCTGCCAGTGTCCCTGAATCCCTTCATAAACGTTACCTTGCTTACACTCCAACAGCACATCAAGTCCTATATATACAGAACATTAAACTCCAATATCAACTCTCCACTAAAACTTCTCCTAAACATCTTCAACAGAACGCACAGGCATAACATTAGGCACAAAACACTTTTTATCATCCCTCGTGTCTGTCTCACACTATGCAAAAATGCAATGCACATAAAGGGCCCAAAGATCTGGAACTCTTTGCCCGAAACAGCAAGAGGTCCCCTGCCCACTAAATCAAGTTAGGACTATACTCAAAAATCATCTCATCTCTCAATAACAACCATACCCAAACTATGCTAAACTCTAACCAAATTTAAAGCAAATCTCCCAAATACTTTATTATCCCTTAACTTTTAAGCCATTATTACAAACTTAAAAATGTATGTTTGTATCATAAATTGTTCTACCTCATATTAATAATAGAGTAAAATATTGAATACAGTGGACCCTCGACTAACGATCAGCTCCCAACTCGACCAGTTATGTAAGTGTATTTTTGTAAGTGCTTTTGTACGTGAATTTTTGGGGGTCTGAAACGGACTAATCTATTTCACAATATTCCTTATGGGAACAAATTTGGTCGGTAACGGCACTCGAACAGACGTCTGAAATGAAATAATATCGTTAGTCGAGGGTCCACTGTATTTGTATTCTACCACTCTTCACCTGTCTAGACTTAAGTAGTCTTCAAGTACATATGGTTAAGTCTGCCTAAAATGCGTCGGCATGACAGTGGCTTTCTTTGTACCAATCAAATATGAAATGTAAACACACACTGTAACCTTAGCAAAGAAATACAATTTTTTATTTTGACTGATGACTCGGACTTATGACAGGCTCTCTGACCAGTATGCACACCTAAATAATGTATATTATAGCAGATTTCCTCTATTGTTTATTACAATATACGGTACACTACTGTATAAACATTTAAAAAACACCAGAAATGTTATAAATGGTGCAAAAGTGGCATTAAAACAATATCAAAGATGGTTGACACAAACCCACTACCATTATAGTATGCTCCTCACCTAGCGACGAATTCATTTACCGACGAGGTCTTAGGAACGAAACTCAATCGCTAAGTGAGGAGAGGCTGTATTATTAAAACTATTATTGTTATTATGTCTAGATCTTAAGTAGTGTGTGAGCATTAGGATTAGTCTGCCTATAATGTACAGCATGCTAGCGGCTTTCTTCGTACTTTAACAATATTTTATTACGTATGCGAAATCTATATTTTGTATACCGTACAAAACTGTTTGTTTGCTAGCTGTTAACACCATACCCCTGATATTACCACTGCTGTTAACACCATACCCCTTATATTACCACTGCTGTTAACACCATAACCCTGATATTACCACTGCTGTTAACACCATACCCCTGATATTACCACTGCTGTTAACACCATACCCCTTATATTACCACTGCTGTTAACACCATAACCCTGATATTACCATTGCTGTTAATACTGTACCCCTGATATTACCACTGCTGTTAACACCATACCCCTTATAATACCACTGACACCACAATACCCCTGATATTACCCCTGCTGTTAACACCATTCCCCTTATATTAACACTGCTGTTAACACCATACCCCTTACATTACCACTGCTGTTAACACCATACCCTTCATATTAAACCAAACCATCTACGCTTACAGAAATCTCACTCCCACAATACATATAAATACTTTTACAGTATTCTCACAATAAAAAAACACCACATTGGCCTAGTTAAAAAACTGCCCAAAATGCTGTGTATAACTATGGGCTTTTCAAAAAAATAAAAAAATCCAACACAATCTTGCATAAAACACCTCTGGAGATTTATCAGAAATAAAATATTATTATTAGTACAGTGGAACCTCAAAAATCGAACTGCTCCCAACACGACCAATTATGTAAGTGTATTTTTGTAAGTGCTTTTATAAGTGTATTTTTGAGGGTCTGAAATGGACTAACCTAATTTACATTATCCCTCATGGGAATAAATTCATTCAGTAAAGGCACTCGAACAGCCTTCTGGACCAAAGAAAGTTCGATATTTGAGGTTCCACTGTATCATTATTAATAATTACCATTAATATTAATCTCCTTCCAAAACCAGGGTACAGAGTTTCACTCACATGCTGGTACTCAAATTCTCTTTACTCTCTCCAGACTAGAGTCTTGTTCCCTTTCTCTGTTAGCTCAAGAAAATTTCTAGATTCTTGCAGAAATATTCAGAGTAGGCCTCAAATCTTTCAGTAAAACATGTTCAATTGTGAATGACGTTTGTGCAAAATAAAACAATGTGTGTGTGTGTGTGTGTGTGTCTGTGTGTGTGTGTGTGTGTGTGTGTGTGTGTGTGTGTGTGTGTGTCTGTCTGTGTGTGTGTGTGTGTGTGTGTGTGTGTGTCTGTCTGTCTGTGTCTGTCTGTCTGTGTCTGTCTGTCTGTGTCTGTCTGTCTGTGTCTGTCTGTCTGTGTCTGTGTCTGTCTGTGTCTGTCTGTCTGTGTCTGTCTGTCTGTGTCTGTGTGAGCATGAGCATGTGTGTGAGCATGAGTGTGTGAGTGTGAGTGTGTGTGTGCATGTGTTTGTGTGTGCAAGTGTGTGTGCAAGTGTGTGTGCAAGTGTGTGCACAAGTGTGTGTGTGTGTATCATGCCACTATTAATACACACAACTGCTGAAAAGTATGATGCAGCAGACAGAAAAACTTTAAAATGTATGTAAGTCATATTATATAGGCTAATGTGTTTGCTTAATATATGTAAGTGTGAATGGGGGTGTGGGGGGGGGTTAAATTTACTTGATATAGAGAGGAGTGACTGGGAAGAATACTTTCTTAGTCGGTGCCCAATCAGCCGGGCTCTGGTTTGCATGTTGGACTGTGTGTGGCCAACAGTAACAGCCTGGTTGATCAGGTCCTGATCCATCAGGAGGCCTGGTCAAGTACTGGGCTGCAGGGAAGTTGACCCTCAGAACAACCTCCAGGTAGAATATGGATGGGTGTGAGGTGAACACTTTCATATTAAGGAAGGTTGTGTGTGGGTGGGGAGACTATTTTCTTAATATAATATGGGTGTGGGAGAGGGGGATGCTTTACTTTAAAATTAAGGGAAAATCAAGAAGTTTGCATACTAAGATTTGACAGAGTGAAGTTATCAATGAAGATTAAAGAAGTGGGAGCTCTAGGGACACATATACAGCACAGTACTGTAAAGATGACAGTGCTTCTTAACTGTTGTTCCAGAGTTAAATATGTCATTAATTTTCTTACTGGCTGTAAGATTTGGATGAATAATTTAGTCAAGAAAGTCCTATTGATCTTGATCATTTTACATGGCTATTGAAATAAACACCGTATGAGAATGAATAAAGTCACAATACTGGGGCTGGAATATATCACCAAAAACTCGCAATTAGGAGAGGAACCTCAAGACGACGTTGTGATGACAGAGGTCCAGGATGGACTGAAACGTCATCCTAAGAGTCCTCTCCCAAGTGCAGGTTTTTGAAACATTTGAGAACATAACTTTACATGAGATTATGCTCACGACTGAAAGTGCTTCGGGTGGGCCGTGCCATCTTCAATCAAGTTTCTTTTCCCATATGGTGTTTTCAGTGCCATACTTTCAAACAGTATCACTGGAACAGATTGCACGTCATATCAATACCTGATCACAGAAAAAAAAAACGCAACCGTGATCTAAAATAAATAGGAATGTGAGCCACAATAGTATAGCTGAAACAATTCACAACTAGCCCACAAATTAGAGATAAATCTTTAGATAACGTACCAATCCATCTTCAGCCAATGTCATGTACCATGCTTCTTTCTTAATATATTTTCATGTATATCTGTTTTTATATTCATTAGAATTACTTCTGCTCTATGTATATCAACAATGTATCTTCATAAGTAAGTGTAAAATATTTATTAAGTTCTTTCAAGTTCTATTAATCTTATGTTAGGTTTTAGCTTTCTAAAATTCTCTGAATGGGCTTTCCAAATATACTATTAAATGTCATCCAATTTTGCAAAAACAGTGTACAATGTGGGAAAAAAAATATATTTTAACCTCCACTTATTACATGATAATGGCAAAAGACAGAACACAATTTTAGCTAAAAATTTATCTTTGCTTTGTGGTTCAGTTTTGAATGGTCTACAATACTTTAATACGAGCATAATCATGTCTGCAAGGCTTCCAAGATCAAATAATATATTTAAGCAAGAGTGCCATGAGTGCTCGAGTACTGCAATGCCTTTGCCAACTACCTGGTCAAACTCTGTCATAGTCTGTTGACTTTACACAGCCTTAGTAAGAAGCAACACAGCGTGCACAGTGTCTTAGTGGACTCACCAGCCGTAGTAGCCCCTATGCAATTTTTTGCATCTCACACTTCTACAGCATTAAAAAAGAGACGGGGGGAAAATGATACAATTAGAAATACAAATTTGGCAGCTTCAGTTTGGATATAACTCATATTTAAAGCCACTGACTCTTACTTGTGGCACTAGGAATAAATCTAAGGGGGGATTATTAAATTTATTATTATTGTTAATATCATAGTAGCAGTCAGCAAATAAACCTTTCACTAAATATTTGATAAATTATGCAATAAATGGTTAAGTTACATGTTTTATATATTAAAAGCATCTATGCTGAAAACCATTAGAGACAAAAAAATTTGTGATGTTAAGTTGCTTGAAGTGTGCTTGAGAATGTAGGGAAACTTTGTTCATTGTGGAGGTACAGCGGGAAGAGAATCTGTGCTGGGAAGGTAGGAAGATACACAACTGTTAATCTGTACAAGGTAGGTAGGAAAATCAGTTCATTTGTACAAGAAAAAGAAATGATGGAACAGTACATAAAAGAACAAAATGAGCATTGAGAATCAAATGAAGACTACAGAGGCACTCAAAATATTCTTTCACAAGTGTTGGTTACAAGGAAATAGAATAAATAACCTTTGTACACAAAGATTTAAGATGATATACCTTATCTTAAATAGGGGGCGCACTAAACCCGTAGGGATCATGCAGCACTTGAGGAATGGGAGGTAATCAAGTTTAATTAAAAAAAAGTGAAGGGTGGTTCCAATTCCTTGGATCAAGAGCCCTTCACTGGCATCAAGACTCCTCCCTTGAAGGGTGATTTACAAGACGTTATTTCCACTTGAACATGCTAAACATTAAGTCTGCTGCAACTACCACAATACACAAACAACCCGCACAAAAGAGAAGCTTACGACGACGTTTCGGTCCGACTTGAATGGTATATATACCATTCTTGTACTACTACTACCACCACCTTTTCCTGCCTATATATAGCCGTCCTGCTCCACTTCTGGTTAGTGTGACTTTGTAAATGGTCCAAGTCGGACCGAAACGTTGTCGTAAGCTCCTCTCTTTTATGTGCGGGTTGTTTGTGTATCGTTCCAGTCACGGTATTGTGCCTTTTTTTGTTATTTAACTACCACAAGTTTCCCATCACAGGACTCATCCACACACCCACATCAAATTTCTTTTCTAACATACTGGCTGTCTCCCACTAAGGTAAGGTACCCCCCCCCCCAAAAAAAAAAAAACGCATTCACTGTCATTCACTCGATACACAAATAAAGAACAAAAAGACACAATACCGTGACTGGAAGAATGCACAAATAACCCGCACATAGGAGAGAGAAGCTTATGATGCCTTGGTTCAACTTGGACCATTTTTTAAGTCGGACCGAAGCGTTTTCATAAGCTTCTCTCTCCTACGTGCGAGTTATTTGTGTACACAAGTATCCCGTGCATAGTTAATGGTCCAAGTCAGACCGAAATATCGTCATAAGCTTTAGCTTCCTACGTCCAGGGTATTTGTGTATTGTTCCAGTCATCGTATTGCCTTTTTATTCTTCACTGACTCAATCAGCGTCTTGCCAGAAGTGTGCTGATGTCACAGGTCAAATGGTCCTCAAAACTGCAACATTCTCATTCCTCACTTAGAGTGCACAATTTTTTTTTTTTAACACACCGGCAGTGTCCCACCAAGGCAAGGTGACTCGAAAAAGAGAAAGTACACTCATCACCACCCACTCTATCACTTTCTTGCCAGAGGTGTGCTGACATTACACTTCAGATTCCTTTCCAAACTGAACTATCCCCACCCCTTCTTCAGAGTGCAGGCACCATACTTCCCACCTCCAGCACTCCTTCAGAGTGCAGGCACCATACTTCCCACCTCCAGCACTTTCCCTTTAGAGTGCAGGCACCATACTTCCCACCTCCAGCACTCCTTCAGAGTGCAGGCACTGTACTTCCCACCTCCAGCACTCCTTCAGAGTGCAGGCACTGTACTTCCCACCTCCAGCACTCCTTCAGAGTGCAGGCACTGTACTTCTCACCTCCAGCACTCCTTCAGAGTACAGGCACTGTACTTCCCACCTCCACACTCCTTCAGAGTGCAGGCACTGTACTTCCCACCTCCAGCACTCCTTCAGAGTGCAGGCACTGTACTTCCCACCTCCAGCACTCCTTCAGAGTGCAGGCACTGTACTTCCCACCTCCAGCACTCCTTCAGAGTGCAGGCACCATACTTCCCACCTCCAGCACTCCTTCAGAGTGCAGGCACTGTACTTCCCACCTCCAGCACTCCTTCAGAGTACAGGCACTGTACTTCCCACCTCCAGCACTCCTTCAGAGTACAGGCACTGTACTTCCCACCTACAGCACTCCTTCAGAGTGCAGGCACTGTACTTCCCACCTCCAGCACTCCTTCAGAGTACAGGCACTGTACTTCCCACCTCCAGCACTCCTTCAGAGTACAGGCACTGTACTTCCCACCTCCAGCACTCCTTCAGAGTGCAGGCACTGTACTTCCCACCTCCAGCACTCCTTCAGAGTGCAGGCACTGTACTTCCCACCTCCAGCACTCCTTCAGAGTGCAGGCACCATACTTCCCACCTCCAGCACTCCTTCAGAGTGCAGGCACTGTACTTCCCACCTCCAGCACTCCTTCAGAGTACAGGCACTGTACTTCCCACCTCCAGCACTCCTTCAGAGTGCAGGCACTGTACCTCCCACCTCTACTCTTCTTCAGAGTACAGGCACTGTACTTCCCATCTCCAGCACTCCTTCAGAGTGCAGGCACTGTACCTCCCACCTCTACCTCTTCTTCAGAGTGCAGGCACTGTACCTCCCAACTCCAGCACTTCTTCAGAGTACAGGCACTGTACCTCCCACCTCTACCTCTTCTTCAGAGTGCAAGCACTGTACATCCCACCTCCAGCACTTCTTCAGAGTGCAGGCACTGTACTTCCCACCTCCAGCACTCCTTCAGAGTGCAGGCACTATACTTCCACCCTCCATTCCTCCTTCAGAGTGCAGGCACTGTACCTCACACCTCCAGCACTTCTTCAGAGTGCAGGCACTGTACCTCCCACCTCTACCTCTCCTTCAGACTGTAGACACTGTACTTCCCACTTCCAGCACTCCTTCAGAGTGCAGGCACTATACTTCCAACCTCCACTCCTCCTTCAGAGTGCAGGCACTGTACTTCCCACCTCCAGCACTCCTTCAGAGTGCAGGCACTGTACTTCCCACCTCAAGCATTACTTCAGAGTGCACTGTACCTCCAACCTCTACCTCTTCTTCAGAGTGCAGGCACTGTACTTCCCACCTCCAGCACTTCTTCAGAGTACAGGCACTGTACTTCCCACCTCCAGCACTCCTTCAGAGTGCAGGCACTGTACCTCCCACCTCTACCTCTTCTTCAGAGTACAGGCACTGTACTTCCCACGTCCAGCACTCCTTCAGAGTGCAGGCACTGTACCTCCCACCTCTACCTCTTCTTCAGAGTGCAGGCACTGTACTTCCCACCTCTACTCTTCTTCAGAGTGCAGGCACTGTACTTCCCACCTCCAGCACTCCTTCAGAGTGCAGGCACTGTACCTCCCACTATTCTTTTTCAGAGTGCAGGCACTGTACTTCCCACCTCTACTCTTCTTCAGAGTGCAGGCACCGTACTTCCCACCTCCAACACTCCTTCAGAGTGCAGGCACTGTACTTCCCACCTCCAGCACTTCTTCAGAGTGCAGGCACTGTACTTCCCACCTCCAGCACTTCTTCAGAGTGCAGGCACTGTACTTCCCACCTCTACTCTTCTTCAGAGTGCAGGCAATGTACTTCCCACCTCCAGCACTCCTTCAGAGTGCAGGCACTGTACTTCCCACCTCCAGCACTCCTTCAGAGTGCAGGCACTGTACTTCCCACCTCCAGCACTCCTTCAGAGTGCAGGCACTGTACTTCCCACCTCCAGCACTCCTTCAGAGTGCAGACATTGTACTTCCCACCCCAGCACTCCTTCAGAGTGCAGGGACTGTACTTCCCACCTCCAGCACTCCTTCAGAGTGCAGGCACTGCACTTCCCACCTCCAGCACTCCTTCAGAGTGCAGGCACTGTACTTCCCATCTCCAGCACTCCTTCAGAGTGCAGGCACTGTACTTCCCACCTCCAGCACTTCTTCAGAGTACAGGCACTGTACTTCCCACCTCCAGCACTCCTTCAGAGTGCAGGCACTGTACTTTCCCACCTCCAGCACTTCTTTAGAGTGCAGGCACTGTACTTCCCACCTCCAGCACTCCTTCAGAGTGCAGGCACTGTACTTCCCACCCCCAGCACTCCTTCAGAGTACAGGCACTGTACTTCCCACCTCCAGCACTCTTTTAGAGTGCAGGCACTGTACTTCCCACCTCCAGCACTCCTTCAGAGTGCAGGCACTGTACTTCCCACCTCCAGCACTTCTTCAGAGTACAGGCACTGTACTTCCTACCTCCAGCACTCCTTCAGAGTACAGGCACCGTACTTCCCACCTCCAGCACTCCTTCAGAGTGCAGGCACTGTACTTCCCACCTCCAGCACTCCTTCAGAGTAAAGGCACTGTACTTCCCGCCTCCAGCACTTCTTCAGAGTACAGGCACTGTACTTCACACCTCCAGCACTCCTTCAGAGTACAGGCACTGTACTTCCCACCTCCAGCACTCCTTCAGAGTACAGGCACTGTACTTCCCACCTCCAGCACTCCTTCAGAGTACAGGCACTGTACTTCCCACCTCCAGCACTCCTTCAGAGTGCAGGCACTGTACTTCCTACCTTCAGCACTCCTTCAGAGTGCAGGCACTGTATCTCCCACCTCTACTCTTCTTCAGAGTACAGGCACTGTACTTCCCACCTCCAGCACTCCTTCAGTACAGGCACTGTACTTCCCACCTCCAGCACTTCTTCAGAGTACAGGCACTGTACTTCCCACCTCCAGCACTCCTTCAGAGTACAGGCACTGTACTTCCCACCTCCAGCATTCCTTCAGAGTGCAGGCACTGTACTTCCCACCTCCAGCACTCCTTCAGAGTGCAGGCACT